AGTTTTTAAATTGAAATGTTCGACTAGTACAGCATCAGTAGAATAGTAATAAAACAAATAATGTTCTTCCTATGTTTTTTTCATACATTTTTACAGACTTTATTTGGCAGATATACTAAAAAAAAAAACAAAAACCAAAAAAAACTTTCTTGAAAAACAAAATCCAAAACCAAAAAATTTAATTAACTGAAAACTAAATTTTTAAGGAAAGTGTGAGTAATAAAAGAGAAGGAAACAAAAAAAAATTATTTCAAATTTAAGAACAAGAGAAGCTAATTGAATCTATTCGCATCAATGAGTTTTGTTTGAAACTGCCAACAAAAGAAAATAAATGTTTTCTTCGCAGTTCTCATTACCAAAAATTTTTGAGGAAGGAAGAAAAAATAAAAGAAATTTATAAGAAAATCATTTGCATCATTTGTACATTTTACCAACTGCATTCAGCACATTAGGAAAGGTATTGTGATCGTGCCACATTTCATTTAAATAAAGTTTCTGTGTCTAAGTTGAACGGACTTACATAAAAATTGGTGTCTGAACTTATTTGTAGTAATTTTAAGCTTGTATCAACTTTTAACGTATGCTTAATTCCAAAACTGGGAGTTTAATGCGAGCGAGATTTTTTTATTAATGAATTTAAGGAATATATGCTTAATCATAATATATCGAGCTAAGAACATTTTTGCAGAATCAAGCACTAGAAAGATTAATAGTGGACAAAATATCGCTTCGACTTGCTTCGACTTAAAGTAAATTTGCATTTTTGGAAGCAGAAGTGTAATAAAATTTTTAAAATTTGAAATGAGTGATACAAAAAATGTCATTTTCATTATTTTGGCCTGACCTTCTAAAAAGCAAATAGGAATAAATTTATGAGAATTTGTGGTTATTATTCAGAAAATGCACGATGTGGTGGGTTATATGCCGTTCACATCAAATTTTTGGTTTTTATTTAATTTTAAATTATTTAAAGTTAAAAATTACAGTTATTAAATTGGTTATTGAATAGATTTTTCCATATACATATTTTATATTTTTTTTTTGTATAATTCTTAAATGACTTATTATTCGAAATCAGCCACTAATTTCGTTTATAACAATATTAATAATAAATTCATCAAATAGTCGCTTTAAAAACTAATGTGATCTAATAGCTACGTGTTAAAACAACGAAACCGTGATCTTAAAACTTAATTAAAAAATAAGAACGATGCGTTCATATACAAAGTTTGCGTATGTCTACTTGAATAATCCTTATCGAAATCTTGTATTCTAACAATTTTATACGACACGATCTAATGTTTTTAATAAAAATACTGTTGTATTTTCAGAAATCGGTTCAATTTTATACTTTTGCGCTGCATAAAAATACTCAAAATAACTGCTAAAAGTGGTTATTCCGAGCTCTAAAATCGAACACCAAAAATAAAATAAATGCATTATCTCCTTCTATTGGCCGCAATATTGGTTTACTCTTCTCGCAATACAGGTGCAAATAATTGTATCGGTTGTGAAAATTAGATTTCCGAAATATTTATAAAGACAATATAACCGACACCTGCTCATTATTGAATTCAAAGAGTAACGTAATAATACGGAATATAGTGTGGTAAATTTGGTACATTTTCACTTTAAGTAAAATTTTAATCATGGGGGAATTTTAGTACGGAAAATGTGTGGGAGACCTGGTTCTTTTGTTCAATAAAATAGTTTTAACTTTTGTTTTTATCGATAACTATGTTTTTCGTGTGAAAGTTTTAGTTTCTTGTTCTTTTACATTGAATTGTTTACACTACAATTCCTTTATGTGGAAAAACCACTCCATTTCTTTTTTCTAATTTTAAAATAATGCAGTATTAGAATTGAGACAAGAACAATTATTGAAGGTATAGCGATATCAGTATTTATAGTTGCACTACCATGTAAGAAATTAATATGAACTCTTATTCATTTGTAATTTATGGGTTTTTATAGAAAAGTTCCAGACATCAAGGGTAATAAATAACAAGAAAAAAATATTGTTTTTGCGATATGCCACAAAACTGAAAAATAAAAGAAATAATAATTAAAATGTAGTCTTTGATCTTGAAATGTAAAACCATTGTGGTTTTGTTGAAAATAATTGTTTTTGAAATAAAAATAATTTCTTAAATGTTTGATTACGTAATAAGAAAAAGGTAGTATAATTTAGGGATTAAAACGATTAGTGTTTTGCATTTAAAAATTTAGAAATAATCTTAAAACAATAATGAAATTTCAACCGCATTTTTCCTAATTTCATCGTAAAAGTTTAAAACATTTGAACGAAAATGTAATTTAATAAACAAAATCAGAATTGCTATCTTGTGAAAAATCTTACTTAATTTTATGAATAATCCTCAACATTTTTCGTTTCCTTTGCCCAATCTTATTCATATTTTCGTTATTAATTATATTGGCAAATTTTCGTTCAATTCAAATAACTTACATTTATCTTGGCATAACACGGGTGAGTATTTAAATTTAAAAATATTAATAGAAACGAATAAACATTTATATACCTATATAAATTAAGGTAGTTTTATCGAGATCTTAACTCATATTCAAAATTAAAGTTAATTTTTCTAGTCTAGAGAACAATAATTGTACTCAGAAATGAAAAAGAACAATTTCTTTCTTAACAAACACATTTTTCTATTTTTATAGTCACTATAGTTTTGAATTTGGACTCTTTGTTTTGGTATACGTATTGGAATTTACATGATCTTTATAACCTATTAAGGTAGAATAATAACTGGCTATATTTATGAAAAGGTCTTTTCAGAATATTCAAATTCATTATAAGCAATTTTCTATGTTCAAAAACAAAATTACTTTTAATAATATTTTGAGTTGCCATATCACCATTCTCTCAAAAATTTGGAAAGGTAATACGAAAGATTTTTAAATTGTGTCTGTTTTTAGTATGAGGAGAATTATTTTTAGATATCCGTTGTGTAAGGAGCCGTCTGTATTATTAAACAAATTTTAAATTTTAAAATAACTCTTATGACTGAAACAAGTTAGAGAGAGTATAATATAATAATAATCTCAATAACTCATTGGGACAAGTGAGAGAGAAACCGAAATAAGAACTTCTAAATTTAGATAATCTTTATTCGTCGAAGATGTTTAGATATTTACATAAATCAATAATCAAAAATATTATTTTTTCTTCCTTCTCTTATACTTTCAAACCATTTTAATTAACTCTTTCATTCCTTAATCTTGTAGCAGTAAACTTTGCTAAAGGTAATAATCGTAATTCGAAGTAAAGAAGTGCAAAATGAAATCCCACATCAACTTTTTTCTAAATGTACCATCACAGCAATTATTTGTGTTACATTGCATTTTTATAAAACTTTCCACAAAATTCAATGATTTTCATATGTGATTGCTACCATGGTTATATCGAATACCGTAATTTAATTAGAAAACCCATTTAACCTCTTCATTGATAGAAAATTTTTGGTTAACCCGGCCACTCATCACTTGTTCCGTTTTTTATTAAAATATTCATTATAAAATACACAAAATTAAATGTTTTTCCAGGAGTTCATTTTCCCAGAATTTTCCATTATTTGAGTTTGTACCTATGTTTTTCCTTTTTTTTAATACTTCTTATTTTTTCTAATTTTTTTTTCCGAATTTACCTTGAAAAATTGAACGGCAGATTTATCTTTTGTCTAGAATTTTTTAAGGAATTTTATAAAAGGATTTTCTATTTCGTTGGAGTGCTTTCTTTTTGTTTTTCTTTTTTATACAAAATATAAATGTTCCTTTTTCTCTATGCTGTCGTACTCCTGTATAATTTGAGGTATTAAGATTAAGGCGTACTGAAGAGAAAATATTTGTGTTTTGTCCTTTCTTTTCCTTTGTTATTTTTTCTCTCTTTTAAACTTTGATTTTGTGTTTGCAAAAACTCTTGATATGAATTGGAGTGGAGTCTAAAGATTTTATTAAAATATTTGCATAAATATTTTTTTTTTAATATTGTTTGCATAGAACATTTTTTATAGAACATTTTGAAATTTACAAGTGTGAGGTGTTGCAAAAGAAAACTGAGAAAATAATGAAAAAAAAATGTTATTTAAGAAATCGTTGAGACTGAATAGGTCATGTAATAATTAATTACGATGAACTAGAAAATTATTATTGCCTTTATATATTAGGTACGCATACAGTGAGTACATTACAAATGTATAAACAGTATGCAATAATGAAAACTAATAAAATTGGTGTATAAAAGTTTAAAATTTTCATGGGTTTAGGTGGGAAATGTTAATAATGTAATTGATTTTTGAGGTATTTGTATAAAGAGGATTAAGAGGATTAGCATGCGGGCGTGCTTATATTTTACAGATCATGCAATTTTATTTTTTCACCAAACTGAAAAACTCGCAAACATGTGCCGCACCAGACATTTTTGTGGCACATGTTATCACAAAAACTAGTTTACTTTTAATAACATTTTAAATCTCAAAAATGACATTGTTTACTTATATATTACATAATGTTATTTACTTATTTACCATTAGTATATGTAAACAAAAGCAGTGGTCGAAAGTAAATTGTAAATCATTCCTTGTATTCTTTTGGGTCCTAGAGTCACGTTGTAATACAACACAAAAATATATTGTTGAGAATATAGTGAGCATTTTTTTCCATTTATTTTTTGGTATAAGTCTTCGCTATGAGGTGTTGTATAAAAAAATTTACATACAGATACGTTCATATATCTTACTTTATTATGTATTTATCACACATGCATCATATAGAGACATAGACTATAATAATTATAATAAAAATTATTTTCTTATTAAAATTCATTTACCAGAAGAGTCATGGCGTTTACCATACTATTTTGGAATTTTGTTCTAAACAACAACTATTCGATTGAGAAGATATTATTGTAAACGCATGACAATTCATATTCAAACAACCAGTGTCCATAAATATTAGTGATCACACCTTCCCAAAAAAATTTTTTAAATTTTTACCATAACATTCACTTAATTACCAATTTTATAAAAGTTTATGCACTTCATATTGAAATTCTGCAATATTTTTAATCAGAACTGTTTTGTGAGTTTGGTTCCGATAAATTTGTTGCATTCCGGAACGTCGAATTTTTTTGGTGTTGTTGTCAATTTCGATATATTAAAATGACAAGCCCTTCCTTCTTAACCATAAACATATCAACAAAGTTTTGATAATAACCAAAACATTAAAAAAAATTACCTTAATTTTTAACAAAATACTTTAAATCGTTGCATTTTTGACATTTACCTGAAAAAGAAATATAAAATAAACATTAAAAATAAATTTAAATTTAAAGAGTCTTATTTTAAATTTATTTTGTAAAAGATATTTATTTGGTAACTACGTATTTAGTTTTTACCGTCCGCGTGGCACACAACTTAGGTGAAAGGAAATCTTTTTTCTATATTCGGAAACCGTAAATAACCTATTTTTAGAGAGGTGTTTGTTTGTCTATGAATATTTTGGCCTCATGCTTCTCAAGTTCAGGACAACCGATTTCAATGAAAATTTATATTTGTACTTACTTTGAACATATTACGAATTGATAAATTTTCATGCACTATAAACAAATAAAAAATCAAATCAATGGAAATTTAACATTTTATTTATAGAAAGGTAAAACAACAAAACTGTAAGTTTTATGAAAATATCAGAGTTCAGAAACTAACAATTAATACTGGGCGATTTTACGAGTACATTTAAATGATATGTAAGAAATTTAACGGAATTTTTTGAAATTAAATATTTGTGTTCTATTCCTGATCGTAAAATTAGCTGAAGAGAAATTAACAATTTTAATGCAGCCAATTGTTTTTATATGGCAGCTATGACATGTGTTAAAGAAAACTCAAGAAGAAGAAAAATGTGTAATCATATTTTGCGTGACGTACCTACCAAAATCAGTGTGAATAATGTAGTACAAAATAGTCAAGCCTGAGTGGGGTTATTTAATACTACATTATTAGTTTTAGATAAGCTAAAACCTTTGAAATAAAAGTTATAGGCGTCCGTAAAGAGACCTTCAAAGATTTGTAACATTAGCATTTTTTCAGTAATAAATTTCAGTGAGCTATTCTAAAGGTCGCTGAATTAGGTTTCATGAGATATCGTTAATAAGAGTTTGCTCCAAAAATTTATTGAACAAAATTGATTCGGGAAGTATAGTCACGCCATTAGGTTGAAGACGTCTTTTAAGTAGTGAATGATGCCACAAAAAAATCGGTGACCTGACGTATCTGATTCTATAAGACCCTGAGAAGGAAAATTTTTAATAAATTGTATAGAAAGTTTTATGAAATTACCATGTCGTGATGGTCTTAAAATTATGTCGACATTATAAAATTTTTAAGCTTTGAGTCTTCTTTTATTGCACGAAGAAATTTACCTGTTGTATGTATTTAGAATAGTACAGTAACGTCTACTGCAACGGATTTCATAATTTTAAATTTGTTAATACATACTTGCTCTAAACCTGCTATCTCATTACAAATTTTGGAAGTTTTAATTCAATAATAATATTATACATGTATATACGTGTATGTGTATGAAAAATAAAATGAAATTGTGTTTTGAAATACTTGCTTTTTATTTTAAAAACTTGACAGTATTGCATTTTAAAATCTTTTACAATCATTTCGAATTATTCTACACATTTAAATTTTATTTTTGAAATTTTATATTTAAAAATTAAAAATGTCAAAATAAAGAATTATGAAACTGGAAAAAAGTATTAAAAACAGTCATAGCCTTTTATTCCTGAAATAGTTTCTTGCTTCTATTCTTCTTCTTAGCAGAATTCTCCATCAAATGTTTTAAAGACAACTTCATTTACTTTTTATTTTCTTTGTTTGCATTAAAATACCAAAGTCTTATATTGCATTTTGAAAATAATTGAAAAGCAAGAAAAACAAAAACAACAAATACCAAATAAAAAAAAAAATAAATTTTAAGGAAAAATGATAAAATAGAAAATGAAAACTCTAACATTGTTACAAAAACGTCTCGATAGCAAAAACTATGTAATGACATTATAATAAATATAAAAGAAACCAAGGGAATACCCAAAACCTAAAATAAAATAGGAAAAACAAAAATGTCCTTATACTCCAAGTTAACTGTTATACAAACGCCTTTGAAGAAAAAAACTATAAAATAGTAACAAAGTTAACATTTTCAATAATTCTCAGAATATTGTCACGTTGTTTATTATATTGAACTGGGAACACGGTCTAACATTGTATAAAAATAATTTTATAATTGTTTTTTCTTTAAGTAGGACCTACTTACAATTGTGCGGACCGTACAATGAATAAAATAAGAAATTACGATTAAATTTAAAAAAAAAAGAGAGTTGACCGTGTCAACTATGTGATGTCCGTACGCATGAATGATTTTAAGTGCTGTGTTTTGATTGTTCCATAAGTTTATGGAAAATTTCAGCACAGTTATTTCAATATTATCCCTAATATAAGGCCAAACGACTTTCGAATTTTTATGGCAGCATCACCACAAGAAAAGAAGTAATGATTTTTATCGCACATAACAGCCCTAATGATACAAGTAAGACAGACGGCCAGATACGGTCTATATTTCAGACCATTATTTTTTAACGTTACAAAAGGTAAGATATAAATTTAGTATATTATAACACACGTTCTTTTAACCGCTTTTAAAAATTTTTAAAATTTTAATGGCTAATATTGAATTTGTAAATTTTTTTAACTCGCGTATGTGAATCTCACCATTGAAAAAATTTCCCCCATGTTTGCAATATTGCAACATTATTCAATGGTTGGCACAAACTTTAAATCATAGTTAGTAAGGTCAAGAGTTTTGTTTTCTTGTTTATCAAGTTACTATTATTTATAAAATAGGAGTCTTACGTGATTTCTCATATCCATTATCAGTAATAATATAAATGACTTAAAGCATATCAACAGGGCTAAAAGTATGTAAGCAAGTATGTATGACTAATGGCTTGAAAAATCTGATCGAATTCGGAGTTTAAGAGAAATTCAAAAGAAATTTAAGGAGGTGCATGTATGATCAAAAAAAAGTACTTGAACTTGACCCAAGCAACCTAAAGAGCAGTGGTTTTCCATAAAAATAATTGATTGGAATTAAAAATTAATGTGAATACTGAATATAAACATTTGGTATCTTTAAAAATTTCTATGTCTCTCTTATTTTAAGATATTTTAAGAGAGATTTAACATCAATTTTCAAATACAAATTGCGCGAAATTGCAGTTTTAGATTTGCATTCAGATTTTAGCACTTTTCGATTTAGATATTCTTTAATTCGGATGTGAGGTAAAATGTCAAATAATATGAAATATACCAATTTACCCTACTGCGTATTGGAATTTTTTATTGTAGAATTTTCCGAGGTATTCAAAAATTTAAAGTATTTATGCATATAAATTATAATATTTGTGTATATATATATGTTGTTTCCTTGTATGGATACTATAGTAATAAATTAATACTTTTATGCATTCTAAAAATCAAAAAGACATTCCGAGAGATAAAATAAAACACTTTTGGAATGTTAAAAGTGGATGATTATATTACCAGCAATATAAACTGACTATATTATGTATGTATATGCACATTATACATGTACATACACATTACATTCAACATACATTCTTATATGTATGTACACATAATATAAAATTTTGTATGTATGTTGCAAATAATGCAGAAAATCGAATTTTTTTTTTGCGATAACAAAGAAATTTTTTACATTGTACAGGGTGCTGAATTCCTATTGTTTATTTGAAAAATATGATTTTTAAGGGAACTTTATAACTCAGTTAACTTATAAGACTTGAAGTGAATATGTCTACATATAATATGTTTGTTTTACGCATTTTCATACTCGAACAGAATTGTTTTGTTCATTTGTACCAGCCAGACTGTATAATTTCATTGCGAAAATCACAATAGGTTTGGAATATCGTTACACAATTCACATATTGTAGGAGTAATGGAAAGGGATGAAAAGAAAAAATTGATTATTCGACATGAAGAGTTGTGGAAGCTTGTCCACTGATTAATTTTTTGAGTAATCAAGAAAGCAACGACGTCTTCGAATACTCGAATATGGGAAAAACAATATTTATAATTAACTTATATAACCACAAGAATTTTTTGATACAACTGTAAGCTAATAGAAACTTTTTCTATTAGCTTAAGAAACGGTTAAGTAGACGAAAACAATTTTCACTTTCTATTGTAACTTTAAATGCAACACCTTGTATATGAAAAAAAAATGGCAAAATTTATTCAACTAGCTACATAGAAAATATATAGATGTCACTAGCAGGAATCTATAAAACATAGAATATTCAAATAAAAATACTCTTTGAAAAGAGTGGAAGAGGGGTAAGGAAGGAGTCATAGTACAATAAGGAAAAATGAATATGTTTTAAAGCATACGAAAAATAGAAGTCACATGTAACAAAAGAGAAGAGAGACAAAATAGCAAAAATGATAAGAGAAACATGATATCTAAAAATATTTTGTAGAGAAACAGAATGACAGAATGAAATTATCTGTGCAATTGGAAAATTATAAAAATGTATTTGTACTTGTATGTATAAATAGAAACATATTTAAACAAGTTTATGCATTCTTGTACATTATAAAGAACAACAAAGAATACAATTGGTATCTATTACATGGAATGAATTACAGGTGTATCCCAAAAGGGATCTGTTCAAATGATTACTTGAAATACTTTTTTTTCTCCTGCTGTTAAGCTTTTCGTTCGGTTTTTTTTTTAAGCGAATGAGATGAAAGTTATTTTCACTTTTGTTGCACATCTTATCGTAGCTTCTATAGAAAAATATACCGTTAATAATATCAATCTATGCCAATATTTCGAATTAACATTCAGCCACGTATGTCATTACGAGTGTATTATTTTATTTGTGAGTTCAAAATTTAGGACGTTTTTGTTACTTTATGGGTATACAAAACGAAAATAAAATTAAAACATCAGATTGGAAAATTAGAAAGGGTTAAGCATAAGAAACTATACTTTTTAATACTCAAAACAAAAAAAGCATGAATTTACAAGGAGTATGCAAAAAAACGTCTTAGTTGTTTGAATGAAAATTTTTCTTTATCCCCGGATTTTTGTAAAACAAAGAAGAACTTGGAAATTAATTGATTTAAAACCATTAGAAACCATTAGAAATTCAATGGAAAGAGAAAAAAAATTTAGCTCAATTTCATTCT